TAAAAAACCCTAACAAACCAAAAATCCTAAGCCATAAACACTAAAAATAAAATAAAAACATAAAAACTGTTAAGAAAAATCCTAAGCCTAAAAACCCTAAACCTAATAATCCTAAAAAAAGACATGTACCCTAAACCCTAAGAAACTCTAAACCCTAAAAACCCTTAAACCTAAACCCTAAGAAACCCTAACAAATATTACCCCCTAAACCCTAAAAAATCCTACATTTTTAATCCTATGAAAACCTAAAAAAATTCCACACCCAAAACCCAAAATCCTAAGAAATCCTACACTCTAAACCATAAAAAAAGCCCTACACCCTAAAACTTTAAAAAGCCATACATCCTAAACCCTAATAAATCCAAGACCCGAAATCCTAAAAAACGTTACACCCTAAAGCCCAAGAAACACTACACCATAAACCCTAAGCATGTACCACCATGTAGCCTAAAGAGCAAAGCTTAATAAATTGTCAAAATTTCTAAGTGTCACCCATGAGATACAACCACGCCCCATAAGTGAGACTCGTGGATAGGGCACCAAGGACTCTGTCTAGGACAGTGAACCACAACCAAGACCCATGCCCTTAGGATGGGTCCAGGACTCATGGCTAGGGGTCCGTCGATGGACCAAATTCTCAGTCAAGACCACACCCGACCAGGAAGGATCGTAGGTCTATCCACGGTCCGTCGTTGGGGGTTTCATAGGTGGGACTTTTGGGACGGTTAAGTTGAGGGCTTAAGGGTCTTTTCCAGTTTTAATAATATTGAAGTGCTGTCGTTTTGCCTATGTCTAAACCACCTATATAAGTATTTTTAACCCCCAAAATCCCCCATTCATGTCATTCTGTCAAAACCTAAAAGAAAACCCAAAACTCTTCTGAAAAACATTATCTCTCTAGAAGTTTGAAGAGGAAGGAAGAAATTTGAGCTAGATCAAGATGAAGTCCCCCAATCTTCAAGCTTTTGAGGGTATTTTGACTAAGTTATGATGGATTTTCATCCATGGGATCCTTCCTCCCATGGATTTTCCTAGAATTCCACAATTTGAAGAAGAATATCCCCAATTTTAGTTAGGGTTATTTTCAATGTTGTGTGTTATGATAAATGTTTATCCGATTGAGTGTATTGTTATTGTTTATGATTGAATTTATAGAAAAGCATGTATTTAGGATTGAATTACATATACCCATGCCTATCCTATGATTAAAGGCTGAATTGATATAGTTGGGTTTGATGCCGTGAGAGGGAAACTCTATGGGTTAGATATCTCCTTATTGGATTGATGAACTATGATTAAAATTACTTGATATTGAAGCATATATGATGAATATAATGTTAATTGCTTGAGAGTAAAGCATAGATGATGATCATGAGATATAGTTATTTGAAAGTAAAAGCCTAGACTATGAATTGTTGATTGTTGATGTTGTAGTATGGAAGTGATACTTCCTATAATAAATTGATATACATAATTGAATGATTGTGGAAGGTCTACTCATATGAAGGATTCTAGGTTGAAAGGATTGATCACCTAAAATTAATCTAGACTTAAATGCTTAATGAATGAGGAGGCTAGAGGCGATTACCCTTGACCTCCATATGCAAGGATATGAGGTGATTCTCATACCTCTTAGAATTGAACAAGTGGTGAGTTCCCACGTTCATACTATGATGAATGATGTGGAGGTGAGTACCCACGATCCTTTAAAATGATGTGGAGGCGAGTACTCGCGATCTAAAAGTAAGTAAGGCAAGAGGCAAATATCAATTGGCCTTTATAAGCTAGGCATAGAGGTGAATTGATGCTTATCGTGACCAATGACACTAACCTACGGTATGAGTGTCTATGATCGTCAATAGTATAGTAACCCAACTAAAAGTTGGGGTCGTGTCCCAAGGGAGTGGTTTTGAGAATTGATAGAAAAATAAAATTTAGCTCTAACTAGTCGTAACTAAAGAGGTTAACGAACAAAAACATAGGAAATAAAGGGGGTGACACGAAAGTGTCAAATATCAAATTTGGGGTTTTGTTACAAGTAGTAAAAGCAACAAAAATTAATAAGAAAATCAAGTATGGGGAAATATTCTTGGGGTGTGACTGCAATACAAGTTGAGATAAATAGTTGGGTACATGCTTTTGACAAGAAATTTGTAAGATAATAGTGACTAGGCTAAGCTTTAAATGGAAATAAGTTCCCTCTCGGGCAACTTACCCCGTTTCAAATGCGTTCCTCTCGGACACCCATTTGCTGCATGAAGACCAGCCTACGCCTTACCCCACTCACTCTCTCGAGCTGAGTGTTAGGATATGGGACTAGGGCTCACCCTCTCAGGCTGAACCTCATGTCGACCTACTTCTTAGGCCATCAGTCTAGTGGTCTTGGTTTCGTGACCTCCCTCTCAGGCAAGTCGAAAACACATGAGTGACTTTGTATTTGCAACTACAAACCCTTTAGATTAAACCACAACCACTAGGTGAAATCACCATTAAACTACATTTAACCTATCAGCAAACAAGACCAAACAATAATATCATCACATATTTGCTAAATCACACCCCAAGAATGGGGGTTTTTAGCCACACATCAAGAAAGAACAAAATACACCCAAAATGATAGTAAAATCAAATGGGTATAAGAAATTAAACCTTAATTTAAGCAAAGGAAGAAGAATAGAGAAGACCCACTTCCAACTTGGGGAAGATGAACTCCTTTCTTCAAGTTCCCAAAAACCCTCTCCAAACTTGAGAGAAAATATCTAAAATGTACTATTCTATTATGGAAATTAAAAATAGAAGTTCCACCACTTAAAAATAATAAAATTTTCAGTATTTATAGACTTCAGAAAATAGTGCTGGCGGATCTTTCGGTGAAGTTAGTCGATGTCGCCTAATGACTTCGGCGATTCTCCTTTCGTCTGTCTCATCGCCGTTTCGTGCTTCCCTTCAACACCTTCACGTTCTGGACCATTGGGTGGTATAGTACTGCTTCATGGAACTATTCGGCGAAGCACTGATTGCTCTTTTCATCGCCTTTTTTATCCTTCTCCTTCAGGGCTTCGCATACTAGAACAAAGGGCAGAGTAAATCCCTTCGGCGAATCACCAAGTGTGCTTGGCGATGCTCGAGCTTCAGTTGTTCTTTTCAGCCTTTTTGTTCCTTTTTGCGCCTAAGTGTCCATGCTTTCACTAAAACTTCAAATACCTGAAACTTAAGAGTTTTCATCAGATATTTAGACAAAATAAGCATTCGAGGACACTATTCTTATCAAAATAAAGCCCTAAATGAGTCCAATTTGTGGACTCATCAACACCCCAAACTCAGACTTTTGCTTGTCCTCAAGCAAACTCAAGTTCAGCCGTTCAAAAAGGGTGTATCAAACAGTGCTGCACAAGACTCAATCATGAACATACACAACAAGATTCAAATTACTTATGAAAAGATAAACTGTGCACTCAAAGATTCAAGTTGTGACACACCATTACCAGAGATTCTCATGCTCGCAATACTTGCTACTTGTGCGAGTTCAAGCTCGACAAAAATGCCCTCATATGAAGAATGATTCCATATTCACACATAGAGGTTAATGAATTCAAGATCAGGAATCAGATACAATGCTCACACTAAAAAAGAGGAACACAATGCATGTTTTCACCCATAAGTTTGCCGTTATTTTCCAATCGACTTTTGATTCGGCTTACTCAAGATCAAAAAGATCTTTCTAAGGCTTGTAATGGGGATGAGTGCAAAGGTATGGTCATTTAGGCTCAATGACTCCTTCCTCGTGGGATGTGGTGTTCTCAAGGCATTCCTTTCTCCTCCTTTATCAATTCTTTTTCTAATGCTTCGAAGTCACCTGTTTATTCATCTTCATGGATTTCTTGGAAACTCGATTTCCTTCGTACCTTCTTCCACATTTTTTTTTGAATTGAAGGGGTTTCCACTGTTCTGCAACACCATAGGTTAAGGGGGACTTTTCTTGCACTTTTTGACTTCTCCTTTTCCTTTTCACCACACACCCAACTTAGGCTTTTGGCCGAAGTTGGCTATTCACTAAACCACAAATTAAGAGGGTTATAGGTAGTGGGTCAAGTGAGGTCTAGGTTTCATCAAGGTTCTTCCAAATAAAGGTAAGGCTCAAAGGGTGTTCAAAAGAGTTTCACACACTCACGGGTAGGCCACAAAAGAGGTATATGTCAAATTTGGCTCACACTCTTTAAAGCTGCCTAAGATCATATCAAGAGGACACCTTTCTAAATTAATCAAACTAACATGACAAATTCTAGGTTTATTCATGCATGGTTCAAAGCAAGCTAATCACAGAAGGCATCGACACTTAAGCAAGACTACACACTTTCACTAGTGTACAACGGTCATAACAAGAGAATCAATTCGATAAGTGACTAGTCACAATGAGATGCAAAGAGTTCACATATTGTCTATGCAACTTCATTTGACCTCATCGTTGCCATACATTCATGTACATTCAATTGAGAGCACTATTCAAGTCATCGATCTTGATCAAAATCGAGACTTAAATTTTTGCAAAAGAACAACCGCATTCAACTCACGAGGGGTGGCATAATTGTGCTTAAAATTTTTCGGAAGGGTCAAAATCATTTTGCAATTAAAAGTAAATGGAGCCACAAGCTCAAACATCCACAGGAAAAGCAGTATTTAACACAATTATAAACAGACAACCCAACTGTACACCAAAATACAAGTATCAACTAACACACAAAAGGTGAGCCTCACCTCACCACCAATAAAAATGTTTGTCCTCAAATGCAAATAATACAGAATCCAAAAGTAGATGTAAGCAAGGTAGAGAAGAGGGTAGAGAAAGGTCTTGGCTATGCAGTCTCTCTATCTGTTGGGACATCAGTGTCCGGAGTAGTCTCAGATGGGAAGGCAGTGCCAGATCCACTAGGGGCTGCTGTGGATGTAACTGTCTCTACTAGATCTGGCAGATCTCTGAATATGCTCGCATTTTGGCTCACTCATATCTTCTCAACCTGTGCTGCTATCGACTCCTCGTCGGTTTCTGCATCCGACTCTGCCTTTGCTGCACCATCCCTTTGCACATCTCTGATGGTCTCAGGAACATCCTTATAATCTGCTCTCTCTAAGAGTGAAGTGAAGTCGGTAGACTTAAGGTAATCTACGTCCTTCCGCAAACTTGCAATTTCGGCTTTTAGGTCCGTCACCTCAGAGGTTTCCCGCTGTCTGTTTTGACAAGCCATAACTCTCACTGTCAAGGCATCAAAAGAAGTCTGAATGGAAGTAAGTGCTGCTAGTATGGCCTTGTCAATCATATTTGGAACAGACCTTTCCAGTCTAGGGGCTCTCACATCAGCTGAATAGGCCAACTGCCACATCTTCAGGATCATGGCCTAAGTGATTCTAGCGGGCTGGGAGGATGAGAAAGCACGTGGAGCCTATGAGGAAGAAGAAGAAGAAGAAGAAGGAGAAGGTATACCTGAGGGTTCAGAGGCCGGGGTGGCCGAATGTGTTTCTGCTGATAATAAGTCAATATTAACCTATGGAGAATTATCTGTTGGGGCTGCTCATTTCCTGTCATCCTTCTCTTGTGTAAGTTCGGCCATTATACGTTGGATATCAGTGGAGGAAGACGGAGTGACCTCTATATCACTGGCGGGATCTCGAGGTACTCCAACATGCTGACATAATTCGATGACCAGAACAGGAAAGGGCAAAGACATCTGTGTCTAGTTGGCTCTAATGGCCATCTCCTATGAAACCAGTAGCCCCAAGTCGATCCGCCTCCTGGCCATAATATACCCAAGGAAAGCAGCCTTAGGATATCGCAGAATGGACTCGTTCTGGGATGGCATGATAGTATTGCTGATAAAACCAAAACAGTACCGGGAGGCAATTTTCATGTCCCTCTTCTCAATATGAAATCTTGTATCCATCCACCTCGGGGTGGAGTTAGAGATCATCAGAGCTAGCCAACTCTTCATGTTATCTAGGGACTGAGCAGTAAGCAAACCCTGGTAGAGCAGTACCGAGTGTAGTGGTCGACCTAATACAACATTAATATGCTTGCTGTGACACTCCACTTCCTTGCCTCTGACCATAACCGACTTCACCGGTCGGAATTCACTAGCCTTTTTCTTATTTTTCAGGACTGACTCCCCATAAGCTAGGTTGAATTCCTGAACCTAGGAAGGGATGTAAGAACCTCATGGTCTAGTGAACTGCTCGAACTCATGATACCTGAGTGTGTCAAACACCTCAGCATTCTTACCTTCCAAACCCTCCACATATAATATTTTTTCTTCTAGAATTGTTCATAAACCATTGCCTTTTAGTCTGTTCAGCAACCTGGGTAGAGGTGGAGCTAGAGGGAGTGCAGGAGCCCCTGGAGGTGGTGCTGGAGTCGGCAATGATTTAGTGGTTGGGGGAGTGGCAGCGGAAGGGGTTTCGGTGGCTGTGGGATGATTTATAGCCCTAAGTTCCTCCCTTCGATTTATCAAAGGTTGCTCATCCTTCGGCTCTGAAACAGTTGGCTCAACATTTGTGTCCTTCCTCGCGGTGTGCTTTTTTCGTTAGCCTTTATCTCCCGGTAAGAAATCTTGCTTTTTTTTCTGTTAAGGACGTGATTCTCCTTCATTGATTGTAATTCCCGTTGCCTTTTTCTAAGGTGGTGCATTTAGGTTGGGATTAGCTAAATTTTGTGATTAGCCAGAAGAACAATCACACTAAAACACAGAAAACCTGAAGCAGAAAGGTTCGCCGATTAGTCGGCGAATCGCCAAATCTCTTTAGCGAGCTAGGTCGAACTCGCCGAAGGGATTAGCTTGAATTCTAGGCAAATAAGCAATGAAAAATTCTATTTGGTGAGACGCCGACTACTTTGGGCGATGACGACGTAGTCCCCTAAAAGATACAGAGTGACAGAGGGTAGAGAGGGACATGCGAGAGACGGTCTGAAGTCCTAATGGCGAGTCGCCGACTACCTTCGACGACAACGGATGTGTACGCCTAAAGTTACAGATCTCTCAGCACTATGGACATGAATGAAGAGCGATATAAAATCAGTAGGCGCACCGTCGAATCGTTTGGTGAGCACGACCCAGCTCGCCGAATGATTCACCATGCTTATTTTTCAACCTACTTCTTAGAATCGACCATACAAGAACTGAAAACAAAATTAAAACATACAGACACGAAATTCACATAATACCCATACTTCCCATCATTCCGGAATACTCAGACTTCTTCCGGACCTGCCAAATTTTAGCCATTTAACTACGATCACCTTTAAGAATGTCGTCACCCATTCTTTTATTGAGCATTTTTCATTGTTTAGCACAAATGTTGGCCATTTAGGTTTTACCCCACCAATATAACGACAATCAAGCAACATCCAATGTAAACTCAATCAAATTAAAGCATAAACAACAAGACATTCGACTATTAAAATATTTCAGGCAATTAAGCTCGAATTACTCATAGCATATCAACTTATTTCTATCAGAGAGGCCCAACACACGTCATCCTGATACTATAATTGGAAAATAGAGCAAAATGTTTTTAAGATAAGTTTGGGGTTTTATGGGCTAACCCTTTAATGCTGATCAAATTGCTTTTTTGGAACGCTAGGCAACTAAGAGATCCAACCCCAAGCACTATATACCAATTGAAATACTAATGGAAAGGTAAAAATCTAAGAATAAGTACCTTCGGTGTGATTTTGCGGAGTTTAAGAAGAGGGAAAAGTGAGAGCTTCAAACATTTTGACTTTCTACCTTTACAAAACCGTTCAGTTCTCTGTCATTTGGCGATGTTAGTCTTATCACCGATAAAATCGGTGACATGCTGAACGCATACTTACCTCACCGAGTTTTACAGGACATCTCTTATTTTGGGTCCCAAGGGCGGGTTAAGTCGGAGTCGCTGATAGATTCAGTGACTCACCCACTGGGTCCTTGGCTCGCCAACTTGCACTTCTCAACACCTTCCTCATTTTATCCTACAAAATTAGCACACTATTTTTTGAACAGAATAATTAAAAGCAGTAAGACCCTGGGTTGCCTCCCAAGAAGCGCCTTATTTTACGTCATGGCATGACATAAGCCTTGTCTCACTCTCCGTTATTGGGGTTTTCCATAGTGTCACTAGGTGACCCCAATATGTCATTTGGGTGGAGATGAGGCACTGCAAAACTCAGGAGTGACCTGATTAGCTAGATTATCTAGAATGGGATCCAATCATTTGATGCAGAACTTCAATATTCTCTTTCATTTCTTCCAACACCTGAGCCTGATTGGTGACCTTTTGGAGAATGATTTGAAGTGTATCCTCGACACGATTTTCTCTCCCATTTCTAGACTTCCTCCGCTCATGAGGAGGTATATACCTCCCCTTGTTGTTGTATTGGACTTCCACCTCTGAGAGTTTGGTGGCCAGTTCGTTTAGCTGAGATGCCAGTGCGGTCAGGGTGAGGTCCTTTTGGACTTCTTGGCTCATTTCCACCAACTTGCCACTACTCTGCTCAGCCATGTTCATCTAAATGAACACTAACGAAAAACAAAACTAAAAGAAAAGTTAGTGAACTACAACTAAGAAGAAAAAAAATTCTATTAATAAAAAAAATTCTCAAATAACAACACTCCCCGACAATGGCACCATTTTGATTCTTATCGTGACCAACGACACTAACCTACAGTATGAGTATCTACGATCATCCATAGTAACCCAACTAAAGTTTGGGGTCGTGTCCCAAGGCACTGGTTTTGAGAATTGATAGAAAAATAAAATTTAGCTCTAACTAGTCGTAGCTAAAGACGTTAACGAACAAAGACATAGTAAATAAAGGGGGTGACACGAAAGTGTCAAATATCGATTTTGGGGTTTTGTTACAACTAGTAAAAGCAACAAAAATTAACGAGAAAATCAAGTATGGGGAAATATTCTTGGGGTGTGACAACAATACAAGTTGAAATAAATAGTTGGGTACATGGTTTTGACAAGAAACTTGTAAGATAATAATGACTAGGCTAGGCTTGACGTTATGGACCATTGGGCGGTATAGTACTGCTTCACGGAACTATTCGTCTAAGTGTCAATTGCTCATTTCATTGCCTTTTTGATCCTTCTCCTTCAGAGCTTCTCGTACTGGAACAAATGGCGTAGTAAATCCCTTCGGCGAATCGCCAAATGTACTTGGCGATGCTCGGGCTTTAGCTTCGTCGTTTTTTTAGCCTTTTTGTTCCTTTTTGCTCCTAAGTGTCCATGCTTTCACTAAAACTTCAAATACATGAAACTTAAGAGTTTTCATCAGAAATTTAGACAAAATAAGCATTGGAGGACACTATTCTTATCAAAATAAAGTCCTAAATGAGTCAAATTTGTGGACTTATCATGAATCCCCATGTCTTTAAAAGTAAGTATGACTAATATTATTATGATATGAATTTGATTTGCTTGGAGTGTTGCTAGATATGCTTTCCATGATGTAAGCTTGACTAGAGGCGGATGACCTATGTCTTGGCTAAGGGTAAGTGAGGTTACTTAACGAAGTATTCCTCTTTAATTATGATGCTTATTATGACTTGATTTTATTTATACCTTATGCCTTATGTTGACTAATGCTTAGGATTACGTTGTTTATGTTAGCCATCATATGTAGTACTTGATTGTACTAACACATACTCTTCCCTACATTCTTAATAAATGTAGGGTCTAGCGACATTGATTCTCACACTCGTGGCTTGCTTTGTTGTTGATCAAAGAAGTGATGTTTTGGTGATTCCTCATTGTTTTCGAGGATGTGATCACCACTTTCTTTTATGCTTTTATTTTATGACTTTTAGTATTGTATGGGCTGCGTCCGAAAATATCTATTCTATTATGTTAGATGGTTTGAGACAATTATGTTAGACTTCCGCTCATTTTATAAAAGACTTTGATTGTATTGAAAAGTTTTAAATTCTCGCTCATTTATATTTCTTTATGTTATGATATGCTAAGTGGCATGTATGAGGCCTTTAAGTGTCTTATGCGCCTTGATACATCTAGGGGGTACCCCTGGGTCGTGATAAACTTGGTATCAAAGCAGAAGGTTGAGAATGGTTCTAGGATATCTCAAACCACGTCTAGTAGATTCTTGTTCATAAGTGTGAAGCACACCACATTTATGAATGAGAGACTATTAGATGTTTAGGAAACCAAATGGCCAAGTCCTGCTATGAAGTTTAACTTTATAAGTCTTTCTCCTAATCCATACATGACGGTTTTCAGGATATGACTACTAGAAGGGCTAATGCTCGAAGGATGGAGGGAGACAATGTTGATAAAAAGTTTCGTCTCAAGGTTCTCCCGAAGCTCTTCCTCAAGCTCCGATTGACCC